TGTGTTTTTAAATTTGAATGTTCCAGGGAGAAACTTTGGGGACGAATAATAACAATGATTAAAAAAGGGAAAGAGCATAATATCACCATAAAGGAGCTACAAGGATGTGCTTGTTTATTAAAGTTTTAGCTGTGAAAGAAAAAAGTTAAGCTGGTAAAATTTGTCAATCAAATTAAATATTGGGAAAATTTAGCTCTATAGATGAGACTAGAATTAGTTAAACTCTTATCTGAGCAATAGTTTCAAAAATGCAATTCCACAAACAGTAGATATTTTAAAGTTGTCATTAAATTAATTATAAATGCATTTTTGCTGTGTTGTATAAGATAATCTGCAAACATTGATTAAAGCATCATTTGCGTCTTATTCCTAACTCAAATTGTGGACTATTTAAAAAAAATGGTAGGGATTATTCGGGTTGATGCCAATAACTGTTGGGAATTTCTCATCAATATATTTAGAATAGAAAAATGTTGTGTTTAGTACCTATTATCTCTATACTCTATTGTGTTTTGGTGTCTTATCCTGTGATGTTTAATCTCTTACACACATTTCCAATGAAGATCAAGACCATTTGGTTTAAGAATACAGTTGAATTTTAGCTGCTTTTTAAAAGTTCAACAACTCTAACCTCCATATTTGACCTTTTGTGAGCAGAAAGCTTGATTATGGGTTTAGGTACTAATGGAGGGCTTCATTTTAGAGCTAAAGAGGAAAAAGTGACAACACTATGCTGTTCCAAGCTGCAACACTTTGTAGCTTAGACTATAAGTTAATGGAATTTTCCTAAATAACCTCTCAAACCACATCTGCGCAAATCAATTTGCATTTCATTTCCCGCTTCTTCTTTCTGCTCATTTGATGTTGGTTTTAAAGAAAGAGAAGATGCGCAGTAGGACTGAGTGGGACGGAGCAGACACAGAAGCAAGGATAGATGGATGACTGGAAAGGAGATTGTTGAGGAGAGGAATAGAAATGTCCTGAATGCTACTGCAGCAGGGTGTGCTGACGTGAGGAGTGTTCCCAAACACAGTTAGTAGTGACTGCGGACCAACTGCATTACCATACTCACACACACACACCCACACACACGCACACGCAGCGCCTAAGGGAGGGAGCTGCTTGCAGCCATATAGAATGGGGACAGACTCTCCTGGTCTGCTCCTGAAGAGGTCACTGTGTTCCTCAGCATCATTTGTGTATGCATGTGAGATGGAGTGTGCAAGCAAGTGGAAAAATCCCTATTTTGACAGTAGTAATGATTTAACCATGCTCTACAGGTGTGCGTGAAGCCGTGCTTTTTACTCACTAATGTTCTTCTAAAGGGGCTCTCCCCCATTCCCCTTTTCTTTCTTTTTTCAACCCCAGTCCAGCAGAGCTAGGTGCATATCATTGGATCAGTAGCTGCTGCCTGCCACACTGTCCAATCGCATCTAGGAAGAGAAAATAGAGAAAGAAAGAGAGGCAGTGAGAGGGAGATGGGGGAGGAGAAAGAAAGAGAGGAAGGTAGAGGGGGGGAGAGAGAGAGGAAGATTGATCATTTGGACGTCCTGGGCCCTGTGTTCAAGGAAGAAATACCTACATTCCAACTATCTGTGCTTTTGTTTCGTCGCTTTCACGTTTCACCGGACTGAAAGAGCCTGGAGGGCTGTTTTTTTTCTTTTTCTTCCTTTTTCCCTTTCTTTTTTATATGGGTTATATCTATCCAAGAGACGTGCCACCACTACATCTACCAGCAGAAGCAGCAGGAGCAGCAGCGGTGTTGGAATATCTCTCCATATCCCATCCCGGGCACGTCGGATCAACCGCAGCAGCAAAAAACACGAGGCGATCATTGCGGTGAACAGAAGAGAACATGCACCGCGGGATTTCAGTCCGTTCAGCCCAGATGGGTACAGTGCATCTGTCATTTTCAGACTGTTTTTTTTTACTTACTGCAGCGGGGATTCAGATTTAGGTTTTTGCATTTTTTGGTGTGTGTGTGTCTGTGTGAAGGAAAGAAAGGGACGAGTGTGTGTGTGTGTTTTTGCGGTAGCTTCTTGCCGATAGAGATGTAGACGGGATATTCTGCCTGATTAGCAAACATTTCTACCCACCTCAACATCTTTCTTGTTGCATGCTGTTTTTATAAGTTGTTTCCATATGAAAATGTACTCAGAGGGGAGGGTGGCAGGCGGTGGGTCTGCCTTGATAAATGGAGCGTTATTCATCAGCGTTGTGTGTGATCACCACTGGAATGTTAACTAGCACCTTGGACAGCACCAACACGACCCAGGAAGAGAGGAGATACTGATGATCGAAGCTATACTCTGACGCGGCTGCAGGTTATAGTGAGGCATATGTGTGAGAGAGATCATTGTGTGTGCGGTTTCAAAGGAAGTGTCAGAGTGTGTAGGTTGGGGTGCAGAGGTGTGTGTGTGGATGTGTTAATATTCTTTCTTCAGGCCCTCAGAAAGAGCCGCCTGGGAAGCAGCTGTGTGTGTGTGTGTGTGTGTGTGTGTTTGAGATACAGAGTGAGAAAGAAAAGTGTGTGATCAGAGTGACCAAGACTACAAGCTGAATCCCATTTCCTGAGGTTTTCCCCTACCAGACCCCCCCACCCATCAGTGGGCCCTCGGGACCTGGTTGTAATAAAATACTCTTTCTCTAAGATGCTGATACATCATCTTATTTTCAAACCTACAAGAACATCTGAAAAATAGTCATTAAAAAGCTATTCTGATTCAATTTAGAACGTGGCACACATGAATTATATTGAATTAATTACAATAATAAAAGTAAAGCATTTCTTTCTGTTCATTTGGATCATTGTGTCCTAACTGGGAAAACTATGCATTTTGTTTTCTTTTCAAGAAACTTGAATACTGATTATGTTTTAATTCAAACATCATCATTAGATACATAATTATTACAGGTAACCCCGTGTAGTTCAGCGGCATCTGTTGTGTCCCCCTATGAGAAATAAAGTATCAGTAAAGTAGTTGAATGGTCACACAATGCCATATCCAAGAGCATAAATGGAAAGTATAGTGGAGGAAAAAAATATACACAATGCTTGAGAAAAACTGCAGTCTTTAGATATGAGTAAAGCAAAGTTTACTTTGCATTTGAAAGAGATTTACAGAGCAAGTTCTCAGCACTCACTTATCCAGGACATGGGATTAAATGGTCTAATTCCTTTAGTAAGGCTACTTCTGAAGCCAGAGCCATAAAATTCTAACCCAGTGGAGAAAAAAGATTGGATGATTGCTCAGAGTAAATGTTTTGTTTTTAAATGAAATACACTTTGTATTTCAAGGTCCTTCATTTTAAAAAATAATGTTAAGATTCCATGGTCAAAACAGAAATACCAAGTCCAAATACATCAATCTTTGTGCAATTAATCTATAATCATAGGAGTGTCATTTCAAAGGGAGGCTTTTTTTCCTAGGCACATCTATAAGCATAACATTAACATAAGCATAACATTAATGTGCCTGTTTACATCAATGTGCCTGTTTACATCAACATCTATATTTTTCATGCTTGTGAAAAAATGTACTGTGCTTGTATTGCATGTGTTTTGTTATATTCAATATTTATAGATTTTTGTTAGGAAATGTATTGCCAACAGCAGTTCTAACCAACATACTAGATTGTTTAAAAGTACAAAATGATAGACTTTAACGCATCTTGAAATATAGTGGTTAGTTTAGATGACCTGAGGATATAAATGTTTCTAAATATAGTGTACAAATGTTGGTACTAGAATACCATTATCTTCAGACATTGTTTGCGGGAAAGAGATAACGATTATATGAATTAACAAGCAATAGTATACATCAAGTTCAACGATCTAATTTTTACATTTTAAATTAATAATTTTTTTTATCTCTGTCATTTTAAATAACACAATTTTTCCCTTCATATATGAAAATTACTAAATATTCAAATTTTTGAGAATTTATTTAGTATTTATACCATTCTTTGTTGTAAGCTTGTCCCATAAAATCCCAATTGTTATGGGCTGTAAAGGTAATGCCCTTAGTCTTCCCCATACTCAACAGAAACAACTAGGAAACAAAGGGTTAAAGCCTGAGAATGACAGGCAACAGGATGGAATTGGATTTAGCTCATTGTGAGTGAGGTGAAGAAAGAATGAAGGTATGTGTGGAGAAGAAACAAGTGTGTAAGAGTCACATGTGTCCAGCCTTATGCTACATGCAGGTCAGGAGCCCCATGGTGCATTCAGGATTTAATTAAGCGTGTGACATGACACCCACCCTGACACACACACATGCATACACCAACGCCCTCCCCCAACAAGGTCCTGTGATCTGTGAAACTGTCTGTAGTGAGGATATGACACAGCAGCAGCCCTGACAGCCTGACACCAAGTTAAGCTGAGCGGACAACATCTCGTTTGGCCCATCTATCACTTTCATATCTATTTTTAAAAGTAAACAGCAAGCAAAGTAGCTCAGCATATACCTGATAATGTGCGTGATTATTCCACTGAAGACTCATTAAATTCCTTTTTCATTTCTATTTCTCTCCCTCTCCTCTCTTGCTTCCAGGAGACAATACAGGCTTGTTATGGGGGTGACCAGAAGGAGATAGTGACAGAGGAACAGTGATGCCACTGTTTACATAACGACACACTCACACACATGCATCTAAACACGTATATACCCACAGGCACACATGCAGGCTCAGATTGCCAGTCCAGGACACACACTCACTTAAACTCTTCAGCACATACATACGTATGCTCACACAGACTAGTGACTGAGTCACTGCACACAAAGAGGCAAAGACTCACTGACTCACACACATACGAAAAGGGAAAAGATTGCTTTTAAGAGACAGAACTGTGTGCAGTGTGTGTTATGGGCCAAGGTGAGCAGCAGCTGCGAGTTAGAGCTGGATACCTGTAAGGGATCAGCAGAGACATAACCCTCAACCTGCCTCCACTACCTTACCCTCCTCCTCCCCCTAGTTTCCCATCTTAACGAACCGCCATGTCTGAACTGAGGACCAGCAGAACTCTTCCTCCCTCCCACTCATCCCACATTGGATTTTCATCTCTCCTCCTCTCCCTTTGCCTCTCCCTTTGCCTTCAGCCGACCTCATTGTCGGCTGAGCAGACTGTGCCTGTCATTTCAACGGCGCACGGCCGTATTCGTGGCATTCTGACCCCTCTGCCCTCGGACCTTCTGGGGCCTGTCATCCAGTACCTGGGAGTACCGTACGCCAGGCCACCAACTGGGGATCGGCGGTTCCAGGCGCCTGAGCCGCCTCTGCCATGGCCAGGAATACGGAATGTGACACAGTTTGCTCCAGTGTGCCCGCAGTCTGTGGATGAAAGGAGCATGCTGGCAGATATGATGCCATCCTGGCTCACTGCAAGCATGGATATAGCAGCAACTTACCTTACTCACCAGAGTGAGGATTGCCTCTACCTCAACATCTATGTACCCACGGAGGAAGGTGAGTGAACTTGGCAATGTGCACTAAGTTTAGAGGGCTGAGATGGTTAAATATGCATGTGGGGTTAAGGTTGGGATTACATGTTATGGTTCATGCCCTAAAGTGAATTCATGGGTAAGGGCAATGATACCATTGACTGTGTCAAATTATTAAAACATGACAGCGAGCTGTTTCTGCTCACACTCAGGCTTGCAGAATAAATAAATAAAGATTTTTAAAAATGCGCTTTGTTTTCTCTTCCCCTTTTACATGCCGCTGGTTGAACTGACGCTTAATATGCAGACACCTGCGTCAGTCGCTAAGGGGTTTACGGATTTACTTGTAGAGGAAAATGGGAAGGACACAGGCTTACTCATGCATACATATTGGTTAATACACATGCATGCGGATCTTTGCACATACACACACATATCAAGGACTGCTCCCTCTGGCATTTGGCGGTTAACTAATGTCACCTTGATGATTTGAACACATTGGTAATCTGTCTGTCTATCTCAGACATCCATGAGGAGGGGGGGCAGCGGCCAGTGATGGTCTATGTCCATGGAGGCTCGTATTCCGAAGGCACTGGGAACATGATGGATGGCAGTGTGCTTGCAAGCTATGGCAATGTCATTGTCATAACCCTCAACTATCGCCTGGGAGTTTTAGGTAAAGAATCAGTTATCTTAGTCATCTGTATAACAATTTGCTGTTATTGGAGAGCAGGTTGCACTGTTTGAGTATATTGTCTTGTTTGCTGTTTTTCCAAAGTAAACCTTGAACTCACAATATATGACATTTATCTATTTCATGTATTTCATTCAGTGTTGCCAGTTATAATCAAATGATTAAACATGTTTTTCTATACATTGTTAATGATTTGTAAATGTTTGACATGCATGAAACATTTAATGAAAGCTCTAAGTGTCTTTCCTGATACATTTAACATGTTGCTGCTGTTAAGTATGTTTGGAAGCCCACAGTGGTAGAGAACAGAAAACAGGGTTCCTTCTTGTTTTTATACTGGTTCAAGATATCAGACTGGATTATTTATTTTTTAGTAATCACATTGCTTTTGGGATTTTCAGGCTATTCATAAGTTATAAACTGCAAAACAGGAATAGGCTAGTTCAGTCCAGGTTTAAGGGTTTTATTAAGTATTAAAAAGGATCTTTCTGGTTGTTTCGAGGTTAGTTTCAATGGCTCCTTTGTCAGAAAGGACAAGTGGGCCGAAAAAGCTAGATTCTCTCTCATCATTTGCCCTTACTCCTTAGCTGTACCACTTTAATTTGCTCTTTCTTGCCAAGGTCTCTGGGTTTCTCATTCCTTTTTGTAATTTTGAGGGTTTGCAGAGATCTAGCTCTACTTTGCTGTTCAAACAGATATTTCCTTAAAAAGCCAGGTATTACCTGCATAAGGAAATACTCTTGCAAGTATTTTCTTACATTTTATCTACTGAGCATCTGGTTTGCATTTGTATGAAGATGTGTAGAAGTCGGTAAATCTTTTCCCAGTTTCATCTTTCTATGCATCTCAAAATTTAGTGTAAATAATTTGATTTCCAGTCAAGTGAAGCTGAAACATAATTTTTGGACATTTATAACATTATGTGTATAAATTTATTGCACATACATGGCCCTGATGTGCACACATTGCAGCAGTGATTTCATTAAAGATCTTACCTAATCTAATGCTATGATGTGTAGATTTTCTGTCTGCACTGCTGAGGATTCCCTTAACTCAGCATGAAAAATGTATATAGTGGAGACACTCTAGGGCACTAATAGTTTATATATTGTCAAACTATCATCCCCATGCAATTTCTTTGAAAAAGAAAAAAGGCAAATTTAAAATTAAGTTTAATTAAAATGTATAACCTTCTACATTTTTATGCTATAGGATGCAGTCATTTTTTTCATTTTCCATTTTCACTGTCCATTGCCACAAGAGTCTAAACTCTGATTTTACTGTTTAGCCCTGCAAAGGTGCTCTTAATGGTCGACTTTGTTTCCTCAGAGCAGAATAATTGTAGTACATGTATTGGAGTTATCTGTATGACATTTATTCCAACATTTCGTGAGAATCTCCATAGAATCTTGAATTTACTTGACTTTACAGCTATTTCGAAGCTGCAGCTGTCCCTGTTGTTATTACAGCTCTTTCTACCACAGTGTTTTTCTTTCACTAGACAGTCCATTATTAAGATTGAAAAGATTTTTATTGGTTTTATCTAATAATATGTCTTCTGGGAAGCAATCTTGCAAACGACAAGAAATAAATGTAACAGAATAAACACTCTAAATATACCCTTCAGCATTCAAAATTTTTTTATGAGTTTTACTTTTTAGAATTAAAAATTGAATAAAATTGCACTTTTATTTAAGGTTATATGTACCTTTTATAAAGCTGTAACAACAGCTGAAATGTAGTGGAGAATTCATACTATTTTTACCATCTGGGTTATTTAATCCTTCAATGAGCTATAAAAATGTTAAAACCATCAGTGATTTTTATTTTTATTTTTTACCCCGAGCATCATTCCTCTCCCTCTATTTCTTTTATTTGAATGAAAACATGTTCAGTGTCCCTTGTGGAAGCACAACCTCCCTGAAGCCATTTTTTCCCCTCCACTACTGTCATCGACTTGAATCTGATCCTTTTTAACTTCATGGCTCTTCTACTCGTTGCTCTGTGAACAAGCAGAAAAAAAAAAATTCCCTTTGTTTTTCTAATTTTACTTGAGCTTAGAAATCCAAGAAGCTGAACAAATAGATCTTTAAATCAATTTAGGCTCTTTGTGGCTGCAGTTATCAAAATGACATAGCTTTAGAGGGGGCACATAAAGGTTAAAACATTTAATGGCATAAAGCATCATTTACTTAGCTGTACTAAGAGCGAGAGTATTGAGTTGTTTATGTGAGCGGAGTATCTATGGCCTTTTTCTACTAAGTGCACAAGATGCATATTTAATTCTATGGGTGATATTGATATTTTTTTTATAAAAACAATAATAGTTATATATGAAATAGGCCTTGTTTCATTTTTTCCCCACTTAAATGATAAAAGCACAAAAGTAAAATTAATTTTGTTGCATGAAGGCATGAAAGGATTGGGTAAGAGGTTCTGATCTTGGAAGGAATGCCACATGTTTGGCTCAGCTTTAATTAAACAGATAATATTTTTTTTTTATTAGATCAGAGTGATGCAGATGGGAAATGGAGAGAAAGGCAGGCCATCCAGCAGGTCTAGAATCAGTCTTGGGATTTGCTGCTTACAGGCATTCATGCCTATGTGCCATGCACTCTTACAGCTTAACAATGAGGTCACCGCAGGCAGAACATGTTTTGTTGAAACCCAGACTGAGCCAATTTTAAAATGTTTAAATGTCTTTAAACATTGAATCGCAAGGCTTTTATTAAATGCAGGCTTTTTTTCTACCTCTCCAGACTGTTGTAGATTTTAATTCTGACCTTGTGGAAAATTGGTGCCTCAAATGTGATCGACCTTATTAGCTGAATATTGAGCAAGTCTAGATGCTTAAATTTGACTTCATTTTGTCTTCACCCCCCACCCCCATTTGTGTGTTTATGACACCTCCACCAATACAATCTTCAACATGATCATCACCATCATCATCCTCATTTCAAGTAGAAACATCACATTCCTCCTCCCGCTGTTCTCCATCATCATGAGTGGATGCATGAGGTGAGCTCATTTACACGATGCAATACTCTGTAACACCATTAATTTTTTGCTTATTCTGCAGTATTCTCCCAGGAATGAAGTGTGGCTCTGTGAAACTGTGAACTACTTGAACAGCTTTACTTAAATATTGCTTGAATGCATATAATCCTGTAAACACTGAGAATGAATACAACCCTGATATTTTCCTTTTTGCTCCAATGAAATCGCTGACAAAATGCACATAAGTGAAGTAATACACTACTTCAGCCTTTTCTTCATGGTTATTATACCCTTTTTGTGCCGGAGGTTCATAGAAATGAGCTTCTGCAGTAATGAGATATACTGTGGCAAAATGAGCCATTAGGATCTTCTATGTTTACTTAATAATGTCAGTAGAAAAGGGAATAAGGGATGGGTGTGGGTTTAAAGGCAGGCATGTGTGGTTTTCTGCTTGTGTGATTTCCAAGGACTGTGAATGCACTGTTGTGGTTTGATCCAGTCTGAGATAAAGTAGGAGAACCACTGCTTCTTTTTTTTGACGTTTCCTTTTTAAAACTATGATAAAAAACACTGCCTTAAAAAAGTGACTATACTCTATGAAATGTCCCAGTTTTGTCACAGCACAACTACAGGCTTCATTGGGCTTTATAGGCACATTAACATATAATTTATAGTTTTTATAGAAAGGTGACGGTTGCATCGTTTTACAAATGTTTTACAAAAACAGCCTGACAAGTTTTCAATACAGTACATTTGTAATTAGCCTTTTTTACACCAGTACTTGCAAACAAAACCTAATTCCCCTGCAATATTTGCACCTGTGAACTTGTTCCTCAAAGTATTGACTCAGAGTGAGGGACTAATATCGTTAAAAACATTATATATTCTTGATGACATATGCTATGTTCAAATGCATTTGAGTTTTGAATGACTTTTTATCTTCTATTTTTTGAAAGGGATAAGTAGCAGTGCCTTGAAGGATAGCAGTTTAAAAAATACAAATACATGCTTCTAGCAAAATGTTTTTATATATTTTTTAGATTATCCAAACTAATGCTCTGCAGCTCACTGCAAACGGTCCACAGAAATTCTATGTTGATACCTTCTTAAAGGTGTCGTGCTGCATGGAGTTTGCATGTTGGTGTTCTTTTTGGTTTCTCTAGCTTTCACCCACAGTCCAAAAACATGACTGGTAGGTTGATTGGCGTCTTTAAATTGCCCATAGGTGTGAGTGTGTGTTCATGATGATCTGTCCCTGTGTTACCCTGCAATGGAATTGCAACCTGTGAAGGGTGTAGCTTGCATTTTGCCAAAACGCTGCTGTAGACGAGAACCAGTCTACTGTGATAAGCAGTATTGCTAAGGGTTTTACAGTGTTTCAGTATGACAATATGAATATGAATTTCTCTTGTTTCTGCATTCTTGTAGGGTTTCTTAGCACAGGAGACCAGGCAGCAAAAGGAAACTATGGCTTGCTCGACCAGATTCAGGCTCTGCGCTGGGTGAAGGAGAACATTGCAGCCTTTGGTGGAGATCCAAGTAGGGTCACTGTGTTTGGATCTGGTGCTGGTGCATCTTGTGTTAGCCTCCTTACTTTGTCCCACTACTCTGAAGGTAAAAATATAAAAAATAAGATACAATTTGGGGAAACGAGTAAGCATGTTGATGAGAGTGTTCTGAGACATCACACATTTAGGGATAAAGTGCATTTTATATTTGTTGGCATGACTGTAAATAAATGCAAAAAGCCCTAAAGGCTGTGTGTTAAGGCTTTCATATGAAATACAAATCTTTTCTTTTTCTCTGCTTTTTACATAAACTTTTTGTTTATGCTAAAGGTGCTGTCGCTACCCGATCCGTACCGGAAGCACGATCTGTACCATCAGCTCATTTGCGCGTGCGCAAACAGAATAACTTCCCTTTGGCAATATTTCCTTTTTCTTACTTTTTTATTCTTTTGTATTTTTTAGAGGCATGGGTTTCTTTTTGTATATTTTTGTATTTTCGTCAATATTGCATTTTCTAAAAATAAAAAAACAGAAATACATAAAAAAGTTAAATCGCCTTGTGATAGTTACTTTGACTGCTCTGAGCATGCGCAAATATACGTCACACAGCGTATATATTTAAATTTGTTTAAATATTTGATTTACTCTGTACTTAACTATGTACTCCAGCAGTACTGATCCCACAATGGATTAATTTGCTACCTTTCGTGACCTGCAGTTTTTCATTGATAAGGGAACATTTCCCAAAAATTTAGATTTTTATTCCAGAAAAATTACGTCAAGCAATACAATGGATTGAATTTAAAAAGCATCCATTTCTTCCAGAAAAGTCTTCAATATTATCTTTACGATGTAGTTTAGTATTCTTTAATTATTTAAGGATATAAATAAAGTTTTTTCAGTACCGTAATTACATTATTTTTTGGCGACCCGGAAGTTATTCTGTTCGCGCAGGCGCAAATGAGCGGATGGTACGGATTGTGCTACCTGTACGGATCGGGTAGCGACAGGTGCACCACCAGTCTTTGGTTCAGTTTAATTTTTAATTTCAATGTAATGCCTTTTTCCTGTTCCTATTTTTTCACTCTATTTGACATTTTAACTATAAGTTATATGTAATTCTGTTTTTTCCTTCTTTTTTATTACGTTCAATTTAGAATGTTCAGAAGTTTAATACTTTACAAATATATTTTTTAGTTCACCTAATTTAACATGATTTCCTATGGTTGTTTGCATGTTTGTCATTTTAAATCTGCAAAGGACAGCATGTTGCATTTAATTGTATGATAAATGTTCATTATACTAAAAGGCTAACTGAAGAATAACTAACTTAAATGTAGTTTGTTATTTAAAACTCTTTTAAACTGCTTTTGGTAAACTGTTCAATGTGTATAGCAACGAGACAAACTGGTCCTTCTCCAGCCTTTGTCACTTTTCCTGGAAACAGTTATTTAGGCATAACCATGTTATTTTTCACTGTTTAACATTAAATTAATCTAAATATTTCCATTTTTCTGTCAGCTAATGTATCACCATTATTCCTGCTTGCTGTATAATAGAGTAATAGAACAGAGTTGGAATTTTTTAAGATTGGGTGAGTGGTGGCCTTGTGGTTAGGGCATAGGGCTTGGAATCCTGAGGTTGTGAGTTCAAAACTCACTCCCACAGACTGCCACTCCCTGTCTCCCTGAGCAAAGACCTTTAACCGTACACTGCTTCCCGGGCTGCCACAAATGGCAGCTAATTGCTCTCCATGGAGATTTTATTTTTTGTTGTGCCATGGAGATTTTGTTGCGCTGTACTTGTGACAGTGTAATGGCAATACAACCCTGGGAAAAAAAATAAGATTTTTAAAATTCTTACTGAAACATCAGTTTTGAAAGGCCTAACTTCATGGCTGATATTTTAAGATGCTGATTTTGATCTAGCACAGAAAATATGAATGCCGGATAGAGTAGTGCATTTTAAGGCTGTATACTGCTCTCTAAAAATGGTGCCAGTAGGTATGTAAATATTGCATGATGTTTTAAGTCTTCTTTTAACCCGAAATAGACTTAGATTAAATTTCAAAAGGCTTAAAAATATTTTATCTTTGCTATTCTTAATAATAAAAATTTATTTGGTTATATGTCTTTTGTTTATGCATGCACAAAACTTATATGCGCTTTTTTGTGTTAGATCTTTTCCACAGAGCCATTATCCAGAGTGGCAGTGCTTTAGCTAGTTGGGCTGTCAACTACCAACCAAGCAAATATGCCCGGCAGCTTGGCGAGAGGGTCGGCTGTGGCATTGATGACAGCACTCAACTGGTCACTTGCCTCCAGGGCCGGAGTTACCGTGAACTGGTGGAGCATAATGTCTCTCCGGCCAAATATCACACTGCTTTTGCCCCGGTGATTGATGGCGACGTTATACCTGACGACCCTCAGATTCTGATGGAGCAGGGAGAGTTTTTGAACTATGATGTGATGCTCGGGGTCAACCAAGGGGAAGGTGTGAAGTTTGTGGAGGGAATCGTGGACTCTGAGGATGGTGTCACAGCTGAGGACTTTGACTTTGCCGTGTCAGACTTTGTGGATAGTCTGTATGGCTACCCAGAAGGCCGAGATACACTAAGAGAGAGCATACGGTGAGTGAGAAAGTGAAAACACTATGCATGCTTTAACAGTCATATGACATTATGTGATGTATGATTTGTCATCCTTCTCGCTTGGAATAACCAAAGTCGATAAAAAATAGGAAAAAAGGGATTAAGGTTACAAATCAGATGGACATTATGTAGATTTAACTCACAGTGATGAACATTTAATTAGTGGAATGACACTGCAGAAGAACTTAACTGTCCAATAAGTAAAGATAGTAACAACACATATCATTTGTAGAAACAGAAGAAAAGAGCTAAAACTTAATCTCTAATCGGTGCCCTTTATGTTCATAGAATCCTGCATTAGCTTCGCTATACAGCTTTGTTATGTAGAATATAGGAAAAGAACCAGTGATTTAAACTTCACATTATTTTTCATGATATATTTATTTATTTTATCATGTTTTTTTAAAACTGAAAATTAAGATTTATTTCTACTGATGCCAAGCATATTTTAACATATTTATTACTGCAGTTAAGAGTACTTATGATGGTTATAGTACCAGTTAGATACTAAGCATTATATGGACATATGAAAAAATTAACCTCTCAAATGGCTACTGTCCTAAGAATTTATCAGGTGTGGCTTTTTTCTCTTTAAACAGTAGCACCCAGTGCAGCGATAAACCAGTTGTAATTTAAAGGCTTTGTCAATTAAAGCTAACCTGCCAATTAAAATGTTGAAATAATCAAAATAACAAAAATGAAAATGGTGAAAGAATAACTATCCTATACAGTAAATAAATTATTAAAAAAAGCTTTTACAAGAGATAAAAACAGTTCTGGAAAAGTCCTAAATAGTCTTAAACTATTATAGATACAGTTTTTTTTGTGTTTTTCTGGTCTTCTGATGTTTACCACTTCTAATAATTAGTAGGCTAGTATAAGTGTCAAAAAGCTGGTGGAATTCAACCACCAGACAAAATGTATTAAATCTTATCTGTCATAAGCATCTTTAAACAGCTATTAGCCTGAACAGTGTGGTTAAAATTACTAAAAATAAACAGCAATCCATGTGTATTTATAACGGAATATTGTCTATCTCTAAGATTTTCTAAAAAGAACAAAATACCAACATTTTTAAACCTAGCAGACTGAAAATGACAGATTCTCAATTCTACTGCAACACTTACAACAGTTATCGATTAAGCCTCACAATCTCTTTATAAATAATAGAAAATGCAGTTTCCTACTATGTAATTTATTATACCTATTTAAACTTTCCCGTACTTAGCATCTAACACATGATTAGAAAATATCTATTTTTGAAGTAACAATTTCCACATTTTTCTTTTTCTATACACAAGATGGTAACTCCTAAGAAGGGTGCATTCACTGATCAGAAAAATGCAGGACTTTTGAGGTTTCAGCTTTGTATAGTTGATGATCTTTTACCAAAGTCATAAAAAATGCATTTTTATGTTCACAAATAAGCAAAATATGAATTTATTGTTTCAGTTTTAAAGCATAATTGCAAAATTCAGACTTAAAATAATAACAGTTGCATTGCAATCTCATCCCTGCATGTCTATGCAGTTCTACTATGGAGAAAAACACACTTCTATACCAGCAGGTATCAATGGCCATTAGATAAAAGTAATAAACTATTACATTAAATAAAAATACAATCTCAGAAATGATAAACATGGCAGATTAGACTGGCATCTCTCACTATTACAACCCCAGATACATTGTTCACAAAGTAACTGTAGCCCATAAGAATCCATAATTTGCTGTGCATAAAAAGCTCTGTGTTGCCAAGTAACAAAGTGATTGCTGCACTTCTTTCTGGACAGTAACATCCATTAGTCAATTTGTTGTACTTATTGGTCTGATCATCATTCTGCTCTCAACTCCTCTGTACTTCTCTCCTTCCTGCAGTAAAACTGCCCTCTAAAGATTTCAGATACTCAGCTATATAATGTCAAAGTAGACATGGACGATTAATGAATTTAGCATTTAACGTGATCTGGCAAGCACTTGTTGGTTATTGTTTGCTTGTACACACATTGGGTGTGTTTGGTGGAGATCATTTAACTTGATCTGTCAATATGTTTTTTGTTGCCTTCTTTCCTTGTTTCAGAAATAACAGCCAAGCTTTTCTTTTTGCAAGGACCATCTTGTACTGTAGATGCCATTCTATTTTTTTTTTTCTTTACAATGTTTGGCCATAAAATGCTGTTAGAAACTGTTATGCCAGCACCACTATTACTACTCAGCTTATGCAATTATTTCCTAGCTAAAACTTAACTAACTAAACTTAAAACTTAGTTAACTAACTCACCTTGCAGAAACTTTTAAGCACAAATTACTCTGCATATTTAGTTTAGTAAACTAATTTCTAATGTGTTTTGTTAAGGTTCATGTACACTGACTGGGCTGATCGCGACAACGCAGAAACTCGTCGGAAAACACTGGTAGCACTTTTTACCGACCACCAGTGGGTGGCGCCAGCCATTGCTACAGCTGATCTCCATGCTCAGTATGGATCTCCAACCTATTTCTACTCGTTTTACCACCACTGCCAGAGTGATGCCACCCCACCTTGGGCTGATTCTGCCCATGGTGATGAGGTAAGATTGCTACTGTTTTTATATTATAATGATAATATGCAAACAGCCTAGAAGCATATAATAATATGGTTCTACAGGTAGGCTGATATTTTAGGCAAATGCTTTTAAAATATTGCTCAAAGAATCTGGATTTTTTTTTATACGGCTGGTACAATGTTTATTTACAATTACCATTTGCAGAGACTTTATTTCATTTTTATCCATCCATCCATCCATCCATCCATTTTCCATTACGCTTTATCCCAGCCTGTGTCAAGAGGGGTGCTGCTGCCTCTCCAGCTGTCTACGGCTGAGAGGTGGGGTACATCCTGGAGGAATACATTTTTATCTTTTTGATACATATATTTATATTTTTTAATAACAAAGCTGAGTGTATATGACGTCATCCGTCATTTGTTTCGGCCCTGCTTATGTAATTTGGAGCCTGGTGGTCTTACTGTGGATGTTCTTCATCGGCCTGCCTGAGAGAAGAGACTGGAACAGTCTGTGTGCTGGGTATTGGCGATTGGAGCACCATCCCCCTGCATCTCCATGCGTAAAGGACCAAGGTGGAGGAAAGGCTGCTCCCAACAGCCTTCTTTGCAGCCATAACCGGTCTCTGCACAGCCACCCCCTCCGCAGCAGTGCAGTTACCATGCCAAATGATGATGTAGGTAGAGAGAACGCATTCCACCACACAGAGCAGATGAATGTAAGAATATTGGCTGTCAAGGTGGCTGAGGGCTGCGTGGACCACTCATGAGATGCGTCAGTAGTGGATCGGTTCCTCCTCAAGCTGTACTGATTTGAGTCCACAGTGACATTGATGGAGTCTTTAGCCTCAATTACATTACCCGTTTGAACTCTGCCAGACATAACCGCTAAATAAGTGCTAAATCTAGTACTAGTTCAACAAGGAACCAAGCCTGGCACTGTTAACTGATCCAAGCTCGGTCCAAACTTGACACGGGTTGGTTTCAGAGGGGTAGTGTAAATGGGGCATTTGATGTGGGTCATGGCTATCCCCTAAAAGCACTTCATGACTACCAATGTTAGGTCTATAGGTTGGTAGTCATTCAGGTCTGAAGCACTTAAGGACAGGGTAAATATTGGTGATCTTTAAGCAGGTATGGACAGATAGTGTAACAATTAGGTGTTGGAGATGTCTGCCACAACCTCAGACAGCTGTTGTGCACAGTCCCCTAGTATCTGTCCTGGTATGCTGTTGGAGTATGCAGCCTTAAAATGGTTGATTTCCCTAGAGGTTCTTCTTCACGTCCGGTGTGGTCACACTGATGGCCATGTCACCAGACTGTGGTGATATAAGTATAGTGCTGTTGGGGTCCTTAGATGGAATATAGAATCTGTTGAGTGTATCTGGAAATGGGGGTTCCTTGGGCATTTTGTTGCATATTTGATGTGATGTGTTTGATGCAGTTAGCTTTTTCCTTGCCTTGGAGTGCTAATGCTTTACCTGTCCGGAGCACAGTATTCATTCCTTCCAGCAGAGCTCTGACCTTAGCATTAAGCCAGGGTTTCTTGTACAGATAATAAGCTACTGTTCTGATGGTGGTGACATTGTCAGCACATGTAGAGTTGAAGCTGAGAACGCAGGAGGTATATTCCTTTGGGTCCACTTCTCTCTCATATGTAGCCGCCTCTCTGAAAACTTTTCAGTCTGTGTCTGTGACTGAAACAGTCCTTTAACAAAGCAGTGACTGTTTTCTTTCTTTTCAATATGCTGCCACCAGCAGGATGGAGATGTGGCCAGAGAGAGCAAGATGGGGTTAAGGAAATTCTCTGTGTAAACTGTGAATGCTAGTGTAAAAAATCGTTGAAGGGTCTTCATCAGGTGCTACCAGTCTGTAGCTGCCGAGATCCTTCAGATGTTTTGTCTTTAGGAACGGTACTGCACAAATGGCTTTCCACAGTTGTGGTACTTCTTCCTGCCTTAGGCTCAAGTTGAACATATAGCACAAGTGCTACTCAGTTCATCTGCACAACAGATCAGAAGCCTGGAGCTGATGCTATCAGGACCTGCAGCCTTTTGCACCTTGAAAACTTTGTGAACGATAACCTGAATCTGACTGTACTAATGTCTTATAACTAGGAATAAATTGAAGAGACAGCAGCTTTGATCATCAACGCTTTTACAGGAAACAGTTGGAAATCTGCAAAAAGTCAGTTCACTCTGATTCCAAGCTTAAATAAGCTTCCTTTTCAAAGGAATGATAAAGTGGTGCAGCTACGCCTGTAAGGTTATAGCATACCACAGGGTTCTACACATGAGAGGTGGCTCAGCACCACTCCAAAGGGATGGTGTTGAGCCACCTTGCAAGACTAGAGCGGAGCTTTCACTCACTTTTATTACCTCTTATTTGATGTCAAAGCTGTGAGACATGCTGGGAGCTTTAGAAATGCATGCTGGGGGTGGTAGTTGCTAGTTGCTGGTTTCTTATGGGTATCTATGGCACAACAGTGCTGCTATCCATTTACCCCTGTGTACCTCTGTGCAAAACTTGGCTTTAGCAAAAAGATGTAAATGAGCAAATTTAAAAAAAACCTGTATATAAGCAATTATTTTGTTTTGGATTAGACATATTAACTATTAATGATAGGTATATTCTAATGAAGGCTAATTGATTGAATTAAGTTAAAAATATAATTCAGCAAAGTACAATTTTGATGATGTGCAAAGCTATGCAGTTAGGTTACTGTAGTTATTTTCATACTATTCCTATCTAAGATTTGTTTACTTTTGAGCTAAAATAAAGCTGATGCAGGCAGAAAAAAGAAAGAGACAAAAGAAATATATAAAATAAATTTAAAACTGTGCTCTAAAGTTTGGCACCTATTTAGGCATCATCAATTGCACAAGAACCGTTGGAGATGATAAGGGTGTTAATGTGCTTATCACAATTTGCTCTGCAGTGTGGGTAGTTGTTTTCACTGAAATTCTGAACTTGTTTTATAAAATCTGACAAGAGAGAAGGAGCTAAGGTCTAATTTTCTTTTAGATTAGTTTAATACCAGCTTGTGATTGGCTATGAAATTTTAGGTCACTAATGCCAGTCTTCTTCTTTTAGGCCTTAAGCAGATTCTCTAAAGCAGCAACTGTCTTTTTGGTGTAACTTCTGGCAATCTTTGAAAGCTCCAAATGAACCAAATGGATTTGATGTATTGTATAGGTTTATCCAGTGTTTGTACGTGTGTGCAGGTGCCCTATGTGTTCGGTGTGCCTATGGTGGGTCCCACTGATCTGTTCAACTGTAACTTCTCCAAAAATGACGTGATGCTGAGTGCAGTGGTAATGACTTACTGGACCAACTTCGCCAAGACTGGGTAAGCTTAAAAAGGCTCAATGATGTGAAACATCAATCAGATGGAAAAGGTTTTTCATTTTCTTTCTGCAGCAAAAGCCTATGAAAAACAAAGCATCTCCTCAGCTAATTAGCTTTACTGTGATATCAATTTCTAATCCCTACCCAGGAGCAGAAGGGGCCTATTTTAATGAATGATGATCCAGACATCTAATCACATTTTTAAAAGTAGCATAAATGCACTGATTTATCCTCCCTTTCCCCCCACGCCCCCTTTGTTGTTTTTGTATGACTTCACAGAAACAACTTATATGGTTATTTGATTGTGGGCAAGGGACTCTTGAATTCACAGAAGCAAATCCCATCCAGGCTTTGAATGATATATCCAAAGTCTATTTTGTTATCAAGATGAAACGTTTTACACCTCTTCACTTTGTAGTGATAATGCATTTTACATAGGACAATTTTTCTTGGGTTAAATAAAAGCAATTCATATAGCTATGTACTGATATGTTTTTTTTTTTTTTAAATAAATATAAACTTTATTAATGCTAATTGGGATGATAGCACTTTTTTCTCCCCTTATCCCATTTTTGATATTCTTTTAATGCATTTCAGATGTATTAGCAGAAAACACTGTTTAAAGGAAAAAAATAATGAGCTGACAGGTGAGGGATATGCTTTGGTTTTATTCCTTCAGGACGTCTTTGGTTTTACGAGGAGAAACTTATCAAAATAAATCATGAAAGAAGCACCACAGATTATTTTGGCATTGATCGTATCATAATGTTCTTTCCTTTTGTTTTGTATTCTTTTGGCCTTGAAGTTACACACTTTCTTTTTTCTCTACTCTGTCATTTTGGAGGGATGGGTGCTTACTCAAAATGTTAAATGAAAAACTACTGCCTGTAGCTAAAGGATTCTATTTATTAAACTGGAAATGAGATTATCTGCCAGCGGCAAAGAAAACATAACTGTGCAGGAGAAATATCACTTTAAAACTTTGCAACCTGACAATACAGTACCTTTGCCAGGTTTGTGTGCACAAATAAGGAATTTGATAGGTGCTGTGATACCATAGGCTTATTCAGATTTTAAAGATTATTCTACTTTTTTGCATGGGGTTTGCTTAGATTTTAACTGCTCTTTCCCTTATTCTAACACTATTAAACAACTAGATATAATAGAAATGGGTAGCCCCAATTACCCTCTTTCCAGACAGGCCACTGCAGTCTTGACCTGTCCTGTTTTCTGGATCAGCCAAACCATAGCAATGGATTTGCACAATACAGACCCCCTGCTCTTCCTTCTTCTGAACAGCATCTTTGTGTAAGGACTAACTTGGGTCCAGAGAAAAGACTATTCCCATGAGACTATAAGTGATCTGCTGTAGACATGATGTAATTGAGGATGGCGAGGGGAGGGACTTTGAGGGTTGCTTCCTGGAAGTCCAATATCTCCAGTTTAAGGTGGGTAAAGCCCCAGGGGTTCCTGAGTACACTGATAGAGTTACTTGATGAATCTTCTCACTGTAGATTCTCACTGCAGCTTCTTTTAGCTGCTTGAATCACCTATGTCAGTTTTTTTCCTGCCAGATTATACAGAAACTTGTTCCTATATTTGGGGGTTTCTTCTTTGGTTCGATGCAGGTTCCTCAGATGTTAAAATAACCATTGTTTTATTTTATGTGTGGATGATGCTACAGTTTCAGCAAGTCTGTCCAGTAGCCGACGGTTCAAAAACCTCAATGTGGTCAAAGCAGGCCTGTAACATCTGCTTTGACTCATCAGTCTCTGTCCTCATGATCCTAGCTACATTCTTAGAGGTTTTCAGTTTTTGCCTGCAGGTTGGAAAAAGATAAAGCATACAAGTTATCAAAGGGTCTTAAAGCTTCATGGGAAACTATCCCCTCTGCCTGCTTCTTTTCAGATATTGTAACTTGGGTCCAGTGTGTCTGTGGTTCTTTTTGGTACATTTCCCTCCTTATTGTATTTTGATTATTCATTTGAGATGTCTGATGATGTCAAAGACCCCAGCTTCTCATATGCAGACTTGTAGTGGTCATAACAAGTAAGATAACTTCAGCTGTGAATGAAAGGCTTTACAGTTTATAAAAGACGACTCCTTTCCCCCTGATAATGGTCCGTTCGAAACAGTGAGGAGCCTGACAGTCTTCTGTCCAGGCTATCTTAACTATGTCAGCTTTTGGTAAAGCAGAGGGTGGCAGACTCAGGATGTCTGAATTTTTTGTGCTAAGAAAGAGAGGCTGATCTGTTTTTTTTTTTTTCCTGCAGGGAGCAGGCAGGTGAAAAGATGGAAGCAGTGATCATGTGCCAGGACAATATGATCAAAATATTAAATTTAGCTGCTTATCTATGTCATGATGACAAAATGCTGTTGAGATGCTAATACCATTCAATTCACTGATTGAGCTTGGGCTATTTTGCTGCAATTTTTCATATCCATCATAATAGTTCTTTGTAATTGTGCTCTGCTTATTGTTGGTTTACTACTTAAAACTTGCACCAAATACATTATTATTATATTGCTTATGTAAAGCTTAGCTCTTATGACACTGATAAGATTTGTTTTTCTCTCTGTACTCTAACACTGTACAAGACAAATATAATGGCTGAAAATTAACCTATTTTATTGAAAATTTGGCATTATTTTATTAATTTCAGGTTTACTCCACTGGAATTATTTTAGATTCCATCCATCTTCTCCTGCTTAGTCCTTGTCAGGGGTGTGGTGGGGCCTATCTCCGGCAGTCTATGGGCGAGAGGCAGGGAACATCCTAGACAGGTCACATGTTTATTGCAGTAGAAACATCTTTAATGTATAAATTTATCTAAACAAGCACTATGTTTCACTATTTGGAAAAAGACCTTTCAAAGGTTTTAACTCTGACATGCAGAAAGAATGAGGATGCATTAAAGCTGTGACATTGTGTTATATTTGCAGTTTCTAGCACAGCCAGAATTGTCATTACCCCTGCAAAATCACCAAAAAGAGGGATGTGAATGGTTCAGTCCACTCTTCAATTATCAGTTGGAAACTTTCACTGAAAAGAGGTTTTTCTCTCCTGAGAGCACCTCAGACGATGATTGAACTCTGCGACAACTCAATTTAACCAGTGAGAGGCGATGATCCCTGATGTATATTTGTAAGCTGCGTGGGCATATCAATCTTCACCTTGTGCACTTGTTTGGGTGTTTGTAGGCCTTCACACTATAGATGCCTTTTTGTCTGCACATTCAGCAAAGTCAGCAAAGGGTATTTTAGTTTTTAAATGGATTTTTCTTTGATAAAATTTTGTCTTCTGATGCAAAAACGTGATGTTCATTAAACAAAATACACCTTCTATAAAAATAATATGTGATTTCTTTCTATTATTTTCGAAAAGTTCAGTATATTTTATTAGGCTTTTACGCCATAGATCACCAAAAAGCAGTAGAACATTTTGAAATAGAAAGGAGTAATACATGGCTTTAGATATTAGCTTCTTTTCCATTGCCTCTCAATCCTGGGGCTTTTCAAAACCAGGTTGACATTTCAATATGTATTTACACAGGTAATTCCACTCTCCTGGGGCTTTGGTCCTATACCTGAGATGGGCCTAAATAAAATTTTCAGGGATTGAAAACAATATTTTGCGTTCAGGTATAATAATAATAATAATAATAATAATAATAATAATAATAACAACAACAACAACAACAACAACAACAACAACAACAACAACAACAACAACAATAATAATAATGATAAATGACCTGTCCAGGGTGTACCTTGCCTCTCGCCTGTAGACAGCTGGAGATAGGCACCAGCACCCCTTCAACCCCAGCAGGCATAAAGCATGACAGAAAATAGATGGATGGATGGATACAAATAAATACCTTTATATAGTAAACACTTTAAAATTAATTCTAAACAGTTACTAACACATAGATAGATAGATAGATAGATAGATAGATAGATAGATAGATAGATAGATAGAGATAGATAGATAGATAGATAGATAGATAGATAGATAGATAGATAGAAACTAACTCCTTTACCAAATCCAAATAGCATAAACGTTGTCACATAGATGTTAAAATGTACAATATGAGGATAAAAAGTTAAAACAATAAAGCAAATCCACAAGAAAGAAACCAGGATTAAAAACAATCTCCCTGAAAATATATATATAGAGAGATTGTTCCGCATGGGCAGAGCACAAAAAGAAAAAGCAACCTTCCTAACTGTTTTCCTTTGGACTTCAGGAGCCTTAAGAAGGGGAGTGCCCTGAGATTGGAGAGCATTAGGTGGAAAATTTTGGGCCGGAAGGCCAGAATGAAAGGAAGGGGATGTTTTACACTAGTTTGATAAGATCATAAAAGCTGCTGAAAATCTCACAAGGCAACCAGTGAAGAGAAATGCTAGATTTATGTGCTCATATTTTCCTGTTTTGGTAAAAAGCATTTTAAGCACATCCTGCAGTGTAGTGCAGAACTAACTTTATAACAAGATTGCACATAATACTCTTAATACTTTTAATTTGTCTCAAGATTATTTTAAGTGTGGAATAATAAACATTATTTGTTTATTCAGTTAATGAAGAATCAGCCAACTTTTAACTATGTTTCAAAGGTTGCACAGTGGTAGAGTTCTGTGCTGTAATGCTGCTTTGTCTGCTCCCTAAGCCTGGTGTTGGAGTGGGGTTTACTGTTGAAAGTCAGCCAGTCAATCATTCATTCTCCATTAATAAGTTTGTTACAAAATGTAAATCTCAGATGTTTTAAACAAGAAAGTACATCTCAAAATTTAGTCTCTACTGTAAGTTTATCTACTTTCAAATATTCTTTTGGAAAATATTCAGCAAACTGTGGAATACCACTGATAATCCCCAGTTATTAAGTGGAATAACTTGCTAATGATGAAAGAGAGCCTTTTTACCTTTCCTTAATACTTAGACTTTAACTGTCATTAGATTGGCATTTTTTGGTAAAAATCTGTTACATTTCTTGGAGGCTGAGCTCTTTAGTTTTTCTCCCTATTTTTATGGTTACATGCTGACAGCCATGCAGGAGGAGAGGAGAGACCTTGGTTTGAAGGCAGTGATTTTCTTCCAGCCAGCTAGCAGAAATCTATAGTCTTGCCATTATCGACTCCCCTATTTACAACTTTTTATTTGTTAAAACTGTTTGCTAATGACATTATAGTCAAGGTATCCATCTAACTATTGGTGCACTCTAATGAGTACAATTTAGACTCAACACATGTTCAGCTTGTGCTGCAGATATCTGATATTATATTTACTGTGTTATTATTAGGATAAAAGTGTATCCTTTTTAGTAGTTGTTGTAGATGAATCAGGCACTCATGAAGTAACAACCCTGGCTAGATTGAAAATTCATTAAAAAAAAAGGGGAATTTTTTTGGTGGCGCAGTGGTTAGCGCACACAACCCATGTATGGAGGCCTTAGTCCTTGAAGTGGGCGACCCGGGTTGAATCGACCTGTGGTCCTTTCCCGCGTTTCTCTCCCTCTCTCATACCCCCTTTCTTTACAGCCTACTCTCCCTAGAATTAGCCAGTTGTGCCGTAACAACTCAAAAAACAAAAAAATAAAAGTAATAAATAAATCATGGGACTTTAAATCCAGGAGCTTTCAGTGTAAAATGTTTAAAAATAAATTGTAAAATGCATCTGTGTTTATAGATTTTTATATTTCTGGGTAAATCTGTACCCATTTATGCACACCTCTGGGTTGGCTTATCTCATAAAATCATGCCAAAAATTAAAAAAGAACTCCTGTGACATAAACATAACTTACTTTATTATTACTTTGTTAAAGCATATATTTGTGTAGAAAGGGTTTCGCTTGCAATATAATCTGAACTACACAACAGTCAGTTATTTTCAGTGAGAAAAAACCCCGCACCAAAATGTTTCCTCTGAGAATTTACTTGCTGCCAGTAGTTTGTTTCATTTCACCTTTATATTGATTGGAAGGATGTCTGTGTGAAATTGTTGGCCAGCTTTGAGAGAAACCCAGTTCCCTCAGAGGACATTTCCCAGCTTCTAAGAAGCTTGGATGCTTTTTTTTGGACTCCCCTAGATTTAAGAGCTTCAAAAGAATTAACAGAAGTATACATAGTACATTTCCACAAATATCCGAACTAACATTATCAATTAGAATAATTCTATTTGATCTCAATTTCATAATTTAATCTAACATAGATTTATACATTAAAAAGTTATCTTAGTTTTGCAGATCTTTACAGAAAATTCAAAATCCTAGTTAAGGTCTTACATGAATGTCAGCTAATTTCTTACTGGTTTGTTTCTGATCAATCATAAGTAAGATAAACAGCACAACTGTTAGATAATCACTGCTTAGCAAAATTCAGATCATTCTTTTCTTTGTGATTTTAGGTTTATCTGAAGCCTATCCCTTTTACCTTTTTATTTAGGTAACAGTTGTTACCTAAAAAATATATCGGTTTTTGTTGCACTAGTGGCCTTTCTATAGTGAGGTAACAGGAAACAGGTTAGAGAGAGGGGAAAATATGCAGCAAAGGTCTCCACAGGTTATGACTTGGAAGGATGTGTGGAGAACTAAGGAATTGTGCCCTTTAACCTGGTGCTACATGTCATTCTATGCCCTCAACAATTGTTCTAACAGAACAATTTTATTTTAGAAATAAATGTAAAGGGAAAAATTGATTTGTGTAATGTCTATCTGCCAATAGTTGGGTAGAATCTTAAAAATAATACATATAGAATAAAATACTTTTAATCCAAGGATGATGATGATGATGGCAAATATTTTAAAGGTATAGTAATGAAATCTGCTTAAGAACCCTCAAGTTTTTAAAAGGCAAACAGACTCTTAGTGGCCAAAAGAAAAGCAATTTCATGGAAAAACTTAGATGTCTGTGACAATTTAAATCTATAAGTGGAGATTAAAAGGGCATTACCATCAAACTTCACTCAGGACAAGGTAAAAATACATTATAGAGTTTGAAAAATGCTGGCCTTTTGGTTGCTCTTGGAAACTGTAGTATCATCGCAGAAATAATGCTTGTCATTTTAGTTATGCTGTTAGTTAAGCATTGGGACATGGAGGATAGTGGTGTTTAGCTGCCAGAGACATCGAGTTAAGATAAAATAGTAATGCAGATCTATTTTGGTCTTTTGGGTTGTCACAGTGGTGCTGGAGGTTTGACAGGGCCCAAATGCAGACCGAAGCTGAAGGAGCTTTCTTGAAATTTAATTAACCAAAAGTTCAACAGAAGAAAAAAAATCAAGACATAAATCCACTAAAATACTGAAGGCCAGGAATACTCAAAACAAGGGGGCAAAGAAATGACGACAAACCAGCAAAGAGTGACTGAACAGGAGGAGATTATATGGGAGAGAGAAACAAAGAGCAGGCTAATTAGCAGATTGGGAGCAGGTGTGAACAGAGGCAAGAAGGGAGCTAGGGAAAAGGAGACTGACACAAGAGGGCAAACAGGAAATATCTAAGGACTCCAATACAATCAAAAATACCTAGAACACAAGAATCGAAATAAGACCAATGAAAACTCAAAATAAAACTTGGACAAAACCAAAACCATGACATGGGTAATGTCAGAGCAGGCATGATGAATCCAACATCTCTAAAAGCTAAAAAAAAAAAGGCTATTAAAACACAAAAAAACTTATCACATAATACAATAAAACAAATGAAATGATTCAATAGTCCATATAGGTGGCCTAGTCCTAGTTTTAGTCCTAGTTTCTATTTTTGACTCATCATGAGGGATTGATTGACCAGCCAAGAGTTGGCTTAGATTTAAAATCAGCAAGAAATTTAATTAGCCAATAGTTTTACGATAAGAATGTAAACTAGTTTGTGTCATTTGTCAGTTTACCATGTGCATTTAATCTCAGTGCTGTTTTCTTTTAACAGGGATCCAAACCAACCAGTTCCTCAAGACACCAAGTTCATCCACACAAAGCCCAATCGCTTTGAAGAAGTTGCTTGGTCTAAATACACTCCCAAAGAGCAGCTGTACCTCCACATTGGCCTCAAACCTCGTGTCAGAGATCACTACCGTGCCACCAAGATCTCCTTCTGGCTCCAACTAGTTCCTCACTTGCATCATGTCAATGAACTCTTGCAATCTGTTTCCTCTTTCACACACAGTCCATCTCCACAAGATGACACCCCTTATTCTTACACCAAGCGTCTATCCAAAGGCTGGACTCCTATAAGCACACGCCATCCAGGGTCGCAAGGAGGCACACCACAGCCGCCGGAGTCTGCTTTGGGTCAGGATGGAGCAGAAAGTGGAGTTCGGATCCCAAATGAAGACTACTCCACTGAACTCTCAGTGACGATAGCAGTAGGAGCGTCACTGTTGTTTCTCAATATACTTGCGTTTGCTGCTCTGCTGTATAAAAAAGACAAAAGACGCCTTGAGCATCGTAGACCACGCCCACTGCCTCCTCCTAGAAGAGATATTACTCCTGCAGACGTTGCAGCTCACCTGCAGGGAGAGGGACTGATGTCATTACAGGTGAGTAATTTAAATAGGCCCATGTAAACTAAAACGTTTCAAGGCATCCTTTTTTTTCTGAGAGACAATCATTATTCATCATTGCTAATAAAATAAAATAAAAAGTTAGTCCTTAAACACTTGTTCTCTAGTATGAGATAACAAAGCTAATTGAAACAATTGTAGATCTTTTTTCATCCTGTGGAAGAATTTCAGTAAATATCTCATCAGGTTATTTTCTATTCTAAAAAATGTCAAAACAATCAGTGGATTTTTGGTATACTTAGTTTGATTAATTAATTAATAGACTATTTGATTGTTAACAAGATGATTTCTGTGTATGTTTCCTAAAAAACCCTCAGCACTCAAAATAAAGGCTTTATTTCAGGAAATTTTGCAGCCAGTAGCTTAAACAGCAGCCTTAGACTAGCTCATAGTAACATACATTCTTCTAGTCTCTCATATGTTCTTCTTGTTGAACCTAACAAACTGAGTTGCAGTGTTTTCTTCCTGGAACAGATGGTATTACTACTAAACCTTATAGCATAAATTCAGAATCTGGATTCGAGAGATAACTGCGTTTTTTTGTGTGTGTGTGTGTAAATTTATGAGTCTGGAAAAAAAACCTAAATAGCAATAAAAGTTAAACAAAAAATACTCTTGCCTTAGCTAGAGCAAAGTTGTGAGGAAAGATTAACTAAACTCTTGGTCGGTTGGAAGTACAGCTGCTGGCAGATTCCTCTTCTGACTCACAGACTGTCATCAGAGGACATTATCAGTATGAAAATTAGAGAGAACATTTGGATGCATGCACATGTGTTAGATGTGTACAACTGCATGAATGGCTACAAATTGCCTCCATTTCATTCCCAGAATATTTCACTTTTATTTGCTGTGTATTAGTTGAAAATGTTACACAGTGTGTGAAGCTATTTATATATTTTTTTATGCCTGACAATTTCTAATAATTAGCAATTCAACTGTGTTGCTGTGCACCACAGCTGCTTTGATGATGTTATTTGTCTGTGTATTTTCTCATATTATATAAGAAAGAAAAAGCAGCAAAACCCTTTTGTTTCTGCAAACAGTGTTGCTATTAATGCTTGTGTTGAAGACATAGGGATATTCTAGTTTCAGATGCTGTTTAAGGGCATGCTGGAATATGTTTACAAGACTCATAGGCTGTAAAAAAGGAGACAAAATACTTTATGTTCAAATTTGATTTACTACAGAGCCAATGTCAATTGACCAATTGTTATCCACAGATTCAAACTAATAGACTGACTGCTTAACTGATGATTAAATAGGATGTTGTTTTCTTCTTTACTAGCAGGACTATTGGATGGTGAAAAAAACAACAACTAGTTTTTAATTTTAATTTCTAAAAGCACTTTAATATAGAAGCAAGCTGAAACTTACAGTAGGAGTATCAGTACTGATATTTTTAATTTGTATGTTGAATAACAAAATCAAACTTATAGCTAATTGTATTATTCAAAGACAATAAAATCATGTCTGAGAAAGAACACGAGGTTTAAAGCGTGTCTTCAAAGATATTTTAGTACATTTTGTAAAACCTTTCAAGCTGATATGAAGACTTTATAGCTTAAAACTACTGCGGTACCAGTCTAACAAATAAGATACACACATTATGTTTAACACTGCATCACTTTTTTGAATTAATGTCTTACAGGAAAAATATATTTTTCTTTTAATATGATTTCTTTTGTGTTTTAGCAATTGGACAAAAAAAGAAGAATTTTTTAAGTAGCTACACTCTGGTTTGAGCAACATAACGGCATAAAATCTCTACAAATGTCTCTCTTGAGTATGGAACACACAATTAACGGCTTTCCAGTGAAAGAAAGAGAAAGCTCTATGCTGCTCCCATTTAGTAGAATTTGTAAAGGTTTATTATTTTTAATTGATTAGGAATAAAACACAACGTTCAAGCTAAACATAAGCTGAATTAAATTAATGATGCCAATAATAACTACATAGGGAGAAACTGCAGTCTCTTGAAATCAGAGTTGAGGAATCAGATAAAAAGGAACATAAAACAAACTAATAAATTCACATTTACTTTCTTCCATTTTTAAGTTGTAGTATTTAACATCTCAGTCACCTGTGTAGAGCCACAATCAGGTCTTTAGTCTGTGGATGATCCACTGATAGGTTTCACATACCACAGTATTTACCTAATGAATAATAGATTGAGGTATGAGCAAACACACTGCCGTTGAGGGCATGATGCTGCCAGCCTCATACTTCAAAGTAGGGATTGTGTTCTCAGACCTGCAGGCTTCTACCTCTGTGAGTTACATTAGTGTAGATGTCAGGATTAGTATTCTTTCACTGTGGATAATGACGCTCTCGTAGCAGCTCAAATCGACATCTTATCAAGGTTTTGTGAAAACAACTCAAAACAAAAGACATACAGTTTTATAACACACAGCCCGTCTCCTTTTTAAATAGAGTTTTGAATAAGACATTCCCATGGAGTTTATTATTGTGTATAACTGTCGGAAAAGATGAATGTGTCACCCTAAGGCAACTGTTGTTCAATAATGAAAATTATACTTTAGAGTTAACCAGACACGTAGAGATCCCACTATTATGTTCCTGATATCCTTTCTGATTCCTTTACCCCATAATGTCACGCAAAGAAGCAGTTTCTTTGAAGTGTTATCTTAAAATACATACAAAGATGTGTCACATAATATCAGATTTCCTTAATTCTTTAAAAACATAGTTGATCTAACTGTATGTGAACTTATGTATTTTTAAGTAACAGCATCAATGCATTGTGCATTTATCAGATGTGAATATGGAAACAATTTAGGTTACCCTTATTATGCCAATAATTTACATTTAATGCTGACCTGGGGGACATTAAATATGTTATTTAATCAAGTAATTTTTGGACAATTATATGTTGTCCTCTTTATGAACACCCGCCCAAATGGCTGTGTGTTAGGACAACAAATTAAGGTGCGATTAGAGCCCAAATCCTGGCCAAACTCTCAAAGGTATTGTGGAGGATTTTGGAGAATTTTTGAAAATACCTGCCCTCTCCACTTAAAAAAAAAAAATGCACATGCACAACCCTGTACCTGCTCATGAGAGGGAATGCCTATAAATGCGTGCAAGAGCACGCACAAGCCCATTTCTCCTCGTTAACGCTCTGTTTAAAAGGTACTGTTCTCATAGCTTATGCAAACTTACTGTGTCTAAACATCCGCCCTAACCCCTAAATCCCTCAATCACTATATAGAGCGGGGACTATAATATGGATATTATAGTGAACTCAGTTAACTTACCATTCAGACAGATGATCACTGCTTTTTGCTACCCGTTGGTCACGTAAATCCTCCTCAACTGCGTCCCTGTGCCATTTTTGTTATTGTCGTGTAGCGACCGCCTAATGCATCAGCGGGCCGCTGTGACAGCAAGTCCCATAATGCTTTGCGAGTACAGCTCTCCACGCAAAGTATTCCGGGATGTATCTGCCACTCTGAGACCTTTTATTTCTTCTAATGCACTTCGTAGACACTTTTTCTATTACCACAGATATACGCCTGAAAGTGCGAATGCTCAGAAAAATATAGTTGACGGGACGAGCACATAGGGCAGCTTTACATAAAGATATCACCAGAATGAGTGACAATTAGGAGGACCATTTTTTAAGATGATCCACCAGAAATCAAAGATCGTCCTCTATACTTTTAACTCTGCACACATATGGAATAAATTCACAACGAGAGCAAATATTTTGCTTCCTATGTTCAAAGTTAATATCATGGCTCATGACATAACACCCTGTGAACACAAAGCATGTAAAGTTGCTCTTGTCTTATATTGGATAGTGAGATAAATTTTTTTTCTGCATTTAAATCAATATCTGGTTTCAACTAAAAATGATATGAAATAATATTAGCTGTTTAGTCACATGTGGAAAAAAGAAATGGTGAAATTTTCCATTTTAAGCTCAGTGAAAGAGGAATATCCTATAAGCAGGGACAAAAAAATT